AGGTTGGTAATTCTAACCTGCTAAAGTCATGAGGCATTCATACCCTTGTAATGAGCATACAAGACCCAGGGACTGGGTTTTCCTTGTTTGTTTATCTGTCTGAATTCCAGGGCTAGAGATCAAATCCTGAACCTCCAAATCTGTCTTAGAGCTATTGAGTTCTAAGACTCTCCACTTGGATCATGAATGCAACATGGACCAGGGATCATTGCAATCTGGGATTGTCTACACACCATGCTTATAGAGAGTTTACTCTGTACATGGAGACCCATAGCCTCTGTCCTCCATCCAGACTTGCCGTGTATAAAAGTACCTTGTACTAGCCAACCAGCCTGGTTCCTACCACATCAAGATGCTAAATTGGGACCAGGAACATTGAGAGAATAAGGACCTGTGATTGAGGGATGCTTCAAAGAAATAATGTGCTTACCTGGACTGATTTGTATTATCAAGGACAGAAACAGAGAAATGGTTGAAATGTAAATTGTGTCACTTCCTCTCTATGGCTCCTCATGTTGGGTGACAGGATTATTTTTAATGGATAACACTGCATCAAAAGAAAAAATGGTTCTCTCATACCTGTGGGAAATTGTTACTGGTTTTTATAAAGGGATCCACAAAAGGAGAAAGACTTATTTGTTATGTTGGAGAAAACAGACAAATAATGTCCCTGCAATACAAGGAAAGAAGATGGAGGCATTGCCCCAGACAGCTACAGAGAGAGGCTTAAGCAACGAGATAAAGTGGAGGTCAAAATAGTGTTCAAATGGGTGAGGAGGACAAAGTGAACTTTGTACTAATGGAGCCACTGGAATTTGCATACAGGAAAAACATGTCCAGACTAAAAGATGATAATGGGGTCTGGGAAGGACTCAGATTAAGAGAAGGTTGACAATAGATTTTTCCAGGTAACTCTCTCTTTTGGCCACTTTTGGGAAAAAATAGTGATATTCAACACACTACAAATTACTGAGATGCACATGACTCACCAGTTAAGGTCTCTCATCTACCCATCCCATTGCTCCTCTCCCCTGGGTCATTTCAGGGAGTTCACGGTGGTCTCCTGTAACTGCACCTCCTTAGCCCAGCCAGCCATCAATAGTCAACTGCAGTTAGGGAGTGTAATATTCAGGTTTCCACAGCTGCTCTGTCCTCAGTGAGCACTCAGTAAGAATGATATTTTATTATACACAACACTTGACATCATATTTCGTCAGTAATTTCACTCAATCTCTAGGTTGACTTTTGTCGTTATTATGCTTAGAGGGAAACTAGAGTTCAAATTCATTTAGTGCTTCTGCCAATCAATAGCAAGGCTTTGCCACATTCTCACTTCCTCTCTGAACTTAGATGACAACATTGCTTGGCACCTGAGAAACAGCACTGCCTTTCTGCCTGCATTTTTAACATTTGTTTAATATTTAATTATTATTAAATAACTGTTTAATGGGACACTCATTTCCTATATATCACTTGAAATTTTTTGATGTGGGAGTGATTTCTTATTAATAAAGAAACTGCCTAGACCCATTTGATAGGCCAACCGTTAGGTAGGCGGAGTAAACAGAATGGAATGCTGGGAGAAAGAAGCTGAGTCAGGGAGTCGCCATGATTCTCCCACTCCAGACAGACGCAGGTTAAGATCATTCCTGGTAAGCCAGCTCGTGGGCTACACAGATTAATAGAAATGGGTTAGATCAATATGTAAAAGCTAGCCAATAAGAAACTGAATGGGTCAGGCAGTGTTTAAAAGAATACAGTTTCCGTGTAATTATTTCGGGTAAAGCTAGCTGGGTGGTGGGACACAGCCCGCCGCTCCGTATTTCAACAGAGTGGCGCCCAACGTGCTAATGAACTCCACGTAAAACCTGAGAGAGCTTAATTTTTATCACAGAAAAAAACAGAGTTTAACACAGCTTTTGGCTGTTTGTTGGTGGCTTGCTGTAGAGAGAGTTCCTGAATCAGCAACAGCAGCAGAAAAAAAAGCTGCGTCATTTTAAAGTGTGACTTTCTGGGCTGTGCCGCCATTGCGATCTCTGTCTGGCTCCTGTGGGAGACAGAGCTTTTGAATGGAGCATTTGGAGTAAAGCTCTACGGCTTGCTTGATGGCAATGTGGACTGCTGTGTGCCTGAAACCGTGTGTGGCTCAGAGGCACCAAATGGCTCTGAGGCAGGAGCGGCTTGGCTCAGCTCTGCCATGCTGAACTGTGCTGGTCTCAGGCAAAAACTACCGTAATTACCATAAAAACAGCGCATTTAAGGTTTCAACTGGGCAGGACACAGGCGGTACCGTATTACCTGTACATGGTGCAACTTAAGTTTTTAAGAACTGCTTAACATTTTAATAAATGCTCCTGGATAGTAAAAAAATGTTACAGATTCACAATAAAACAGATTCAGACATAAAAGACCACACTGTTGGATGAATGCACATAGACTTGAGAGAGAGAATAAAAAGAATATAAAAAATAAAGTTAATGGCTTAAAAAAAAGGTAAAGTCTTTAAAGAGACAGAGTACAGATAGTTAAGAGATTAAAAGAAATAAAAAAAAAATAAGCCACGTAAAAATGGAAAATTCACAGAGAGTCTGGATTATGTACATTGTGCTTTCTTTAAAATTTTTGACTGTAAAGGAGCTAAGTACAGAGAGACATTTCATTCTATGGGCTGCCAAGTGGAACCAAAATGGATATCATGAGGGTATGACTTCAAAATTTGGGTCTAAGGATATGATGCTTTGGAAAGGGTCTTCTTTTGTTTTCACAGAGGACCAGACCCTGTGGATTTCTTCTATCCCAATTTGGTATGATAGACCACGACCTCCCGAAAAGTTCCTGTGAACACCCTAAAAAAAATTACTTCACTCAACTGCCAACTGAGATAAACCTGGCACACAGGTTACACCCTAAATGATCTGATTAACAGCGCCCACATTCAGCAGGAAGCAGTTTGGAGAGAAAAAACTGCGCCCATGTTCCCAAAATATTGTTTATAAATGTTCTTTTACATTTAAAGGGGGATATGATATAGATATGAATAATTTACATTGGTATGGATTTTAAGGTCAATTTTGTTATAGGTATATGCATATTTCTGCTATTGATTAAGGTATTGTGATTGTGTAGTTCATTAAAAAATGTAATGTATAATTAAGAAATATAGGTTAATGGATAATCATCATAATAGTCAAGTTTGTAGTCATGTTACTTAGATTTTCTAGATATATAGAGATATATTTCAGATAGGCATTCTTCATATCTCTCAAAGGCTACAGAATATGGCATTTAAAATATTTTAATAACTTAGGACTTTTCATGACAATGAGACACGTCTGCTCCTGGCAGCACCAATCTACTTCGAGAGGAAGATGGGCATCGAAGAGGATCCTTATGGAGTTTGATAGCCATTTGGGCAAGAAACTGCTCTTGCCTGGACTGTTGCATAAAATGGACACAGAGAACCCGCAGAGAGAGGACTGCTAAACTTGCCTAAAGGTGAGATGGTCTTTCGGGGTTCATGACTCATGAAAGAGTCTGCGAGACATTCTGCAGGACACAGCAGATAGTGACTGAACTGTCTTTAAAATTTCCTGCTTCATGGAAATGTCTGCTGGATACTATGGGCCTGAAGGCTGAAGATGGATGTCCCAACCATACAAAAGAACTTTGGGTGACTGTCCAGGCAGCAAGATGTCTCTGTCATTTCTAGAGTTTTCTTATTTCTTGTTTACTTAGGTAGTATTATATCCTTCTGGAGTCTTTGATGGAGTTGAAGAATGAATAGATAGTTATAGTTTTCCTTAGTTATGATAAAAGATAAAATAGATATAAATATCGTAACTGTAATTCTTGCTTGATAACTGTTTTGCTATATGTAATTTTACTATGTTAAAGTTAAAGCCTTTCTTTTTTGTTTAAACAGAAAAAGGGGAAATGATGTGGGAGTGATTTCTTATTAATAAAGAAACTGCCTAGACCCATTTGATAGGCCAACCGTTAGGTAGGCGGAGTAAACAGAATGGAATGCTGGGAGAAAGAAGCTGAGTCAGGGAGTCGCCATGATTCTCCCACTCCAGACAGACGCAGGTTAAGATCATTCCTGGTAAGCCAGCTCGTGGGCTACACAGATTAATAGAAATGGGTTAGATCAATATGTAAAAGCTAGCCAATAAGAAACTGAAACTAATGGGTCAGGCAGTGTTTAAAAGAATACAGTTTCCGTGTAATTATTTCGGGTAAAGCTAGCTGGGTGGCGGGACACAGCCCGCCGCTCCGTATTTCAACAATTTTTGATCAACTTTCTATATGTTAATGTTCATTTACACTCTCAATATTTGTCTATACATTCCTTTAAAATCCACAATAAATATAGAGATTGGAAAAATTGTTAGAAACCAAGGTAGAAAAATAACTGCTCTTCGTGGCATGCTGAAAATATCTTAGTATAATATTGAGTCTTCAATAGCTATTTACAAAGTCATGTTCATTGAGAAGTTTTGGAGATCATTGAAAGTCTTAAAATATTATTAGGATGTCATAATTTCATTGTGGATCCTGGATCTAGTTCATGAGAATCTATATAAAGGCCATAGTCAACTACAATTCAGTCACTTCTCAAATTGCATGTTCAAAATCAATTTGCTTCTGATGGAGGATAAAGAGAATATGGTTGAAGACCTAAAGACAGCTCATTACTCCTAAATCAAATGTCAAATTCTATTCTTAGATTCCATATAACTTAGCGAACAATACATGGTTTTATTTATTCTCAGAGATATAGCTAAATATTCACATTTTTGTTATCATCATGACAAAGAGAATGGAATTTTCCACAAGAGTTTCTAACATTAACAGACTCAGGATCTCTGCAATAAAAACTTCACAAAGTGATTTTCTTATAGATGACTCATCTCAGTTGTGTCCAGTCCAGGGCAATGAACTGGGTCAGAACCTCAGAATTCAAAGTCCAAGACATGGGATAACAAACCCAACCACGTGACCAAAGTGGCTGTGAAGATGTTGAAGTCCGACGCAACAGAGAAGGACCTGTCAGATCTGATCTCAGAGATGGAGATGATGAAAATGATCGGGAAACACAAGAATATCATCAATCTGCTGGGGGCATGCACACAGGACGGGCCTCTGTATGTCATCGTGGAATACGCCTCCAAAGGCAACCTTCGGGAGTATCTGCAGGCCCGGAGGCCTCCTGGGCTGGAATATTGCTACATCCCCAGTCATAACCCCGAGGAACAGCTGTCCTCCAAAGATCTGGTATCCTGTGCCTATCAGGTGGCCCGGGGCATGGAGTATCTTGCCTCTAAGAAGTGCATACACCGAGACCTGGCTGCTAGAAATGTCCTGGTGACAGAGGACAATGTAATGAAGATCGCAGACTTTGGCCTAGCCCGAGACATTCACCATATCGACTACTATAAAAAAACCCACCAATGGCCGGCTGCCTGTGAAGTGGATGGCACCTGAGGCATTGTTTGACCGGATCTACACCCACCAGAGTGACGTGTGGTCTTTTGGGGTACTCTTGTGGGAAATCTTCACTCTGGGCGGCTCCCCATACCCTGGTGTGCCTGTGGAAGAACTTTTCAAGCTGCTGAAGAAGGGTCATCGGATGGACAAGCCTACTAACTGTACCAATGAACTGTACATGATGATGCAGGATTGCTGGCACGCAGTGCCCTCTCAGAGGCCCACTTTCAAACAGCTGGTGGTCAGGGGACAAGACTTGGAGTTGCATATCCGAAGGGCGTGTATGATGTTGGCTTGCCATCCCACAAGACCCTTTTTCAGATTCAAGCAGAACGCATTCTGAAACTACAGCAGTTAGCTGAAAAACGCTATGGCAACAAGTGCGTCATCCCATGGTATATAATGACCAGCAGTAGAACAATGGAGTCTACAAAGGAGTTCTTCACAAAGCACAAGTACTTTGGTTTAAAAAAGGAGAATGTGGTCTTTTTTCAACAGGGAATGCTGCCTGCTATTAGTTTTGATGGGAAAATTATTTTGGAAGAGAAAAACAAAGTCTCTATGGCTCCAGATCCTAGGCAGTTTGGATGCTCACCTTACGAGACCTGGATAGAGGTGGACAGTCCTTGGGCTTCCCACAGGTCAGGGAACCCTGATTGCTCTTCGAGCAGATGAGGGAGGGGGACTTGATCGGGGGAGGGGGAGGGAAATGGGAAGCGGTTGCGGGGACGAGGCAGAAATCCTTAATAAATAAATAAATTTAAAAAATAAAAATTAAATAAATAAATAAATAAAAAGAAGCCCTGGGTATTTTGTTAAATGCAGAAACCACATTATTATGTAATAAGGATGGAGTTTTTGCAGGTAAGGCCTAGGAGAGAATCTAAACATTTGTTTCACCTTCAGTCTAACATAAGTGAAGGGAAAAGGGAAAAGAAGAAACAAGCGCTCATATTAGCATCAAAATCATCTTTGAGGCTTAAAGGGCTCCTACAGGAAGAGTTGAAGGAAAATAGGAAGAAATTTCCAGGGGACCAGAGGTCACCTGAAGCAATTCTTCAGCCATGCAATCCTCAGAATGCTATGTGGTCCACACTTAGCATTCAGATTCTAAGTGTGTTCTCCATGTGCATGCTGTGACTGCAAAGAAAAGAAGAACATTTTCATACAGCCAAGATCAGGGCCTGCCTTTTCTGTCCTCTTATAGGGTTTTGTTTCTCTGACAACAAAGTACTGTATCACCTTGGGTTCAGGGCCAGACACCCCATTTCTCAGGCTCAGAGTTGTGTGAGCTCACAGTCAACCACACTTTCCATTGGTCAGTGTCAAGTCACCAGAACTCGGAGGTCATCTACAAAGACATTGCACTTGGTGGATAAGGTCAGCTTACTTACCTTCAATGCACAAACAAGTTAGTCATGTGCCCACCGGAAACCAACCCACGATGAAATTCCAGTTCCAAGAGAAGAGCTTCAAGGATCACATTTCAATTTTTGAGGAAAGGGAAAAGTTTCCTGAGAGCTGCTTTGACCTCCTTGTTTCTCAAAGTATAGATCAGAGGGTTGAGTGTAGGGCTCAACATGGTGTACAAAACACCAGCCAATTTGCTCTTCTCTGGGTTGTAGCTGGAGACAGGGCTTATGTAGGCATAGAAGACAGCGGTGTAGTACATGCACACCACAATGAGATGGGAAGAGCAGGTCGAGAAGGCTTTCTTCTTCCCTTCTGAAGTCCGCATCTTTAGGATGCTGGAAATGATGAAGCCGTAGGACACAATGGTCATCAGGAAGTTCAATATGCCATAAAAAGCGTCAGCCAAGACTATCATGACACTGTTCACGTAGGTGGAGCTGCAGGAGAGAAGGAGTAGAGGTGGTACCTCACAGAAGAAATGTGTGATGACGTTGGGGCCGCAGAAAGTCAAGCGTGTCATCAGGCCAGTGTGAATAGCTGTGTTGACGGCACAGAGCGCCCACACTCCAGCAGCCAACAGACTGCAAAAGGCTTTGCTCATCATGGAGCCATAATGCAGAGGATGACAGATGGCAGCATAGCGGTCATAGGCCATGACCGTGAGGAGTAGCAACTCTGAGGATGCAGACCACGTGAGGAAATAGAGCTGAGCCATGCAGCCAGCATAGGAGATGGGGTTTCTCTCTGACACCAGACCCTTCAGGGCCTTGGGCATTATGGAGGAGGTACAGATGATATCCATGTTAGCCAAATTGAACAAAAAAAAGTACATGGGAGTGTGGAGCCCAGGGTTGCAGGTGATGGCCAAGATGATAAGAACATTACCTATGACAGCCACAGAATAGAGGGAGAGGAAACAGATAAATAAGAGCAGCCAGTACTGCGGGTGCTCAGAGAAGCCCTGGAGGATGAACTCTGTCACCAGTGTCTGGTTTCTCATCGTCCTTGACTGAAGTGGATGTCAGAGACTCTCAGGTGATTATCAACCCATGGTTTGTATGATTTCAGGGCTAGAAAGAGAGGTGAAAGGTTTCTTAAGAAAGGTCTTGCTGAGTATCATTCATTCCTGACACCGTGGCATGAATAAATGATGATGTATAGCATTATTGCATTAAGTCAAACACCCTACTGCTACACAAACAGAGAGCAGGGAGGATTTGGCTCGAAGAATAGTGTTCAAAGTTGTCCTCTGGCCTCCATAAGTATTTGGACACAGTAATATGGGTATCTGCACACAGAAATGCAGCAGAACACATACAGAAACACACACACACACACAGAGAGAGAGAGAGAGAGAGAGAGAGAGAGAGAGAGAGAGAGAGTTTTGCATTTGAGCGAGACTTTCCTTTTTGGAAATTTTTCTTGATAAAAAAATCTTCTCATTACACAGACAGAACAATCCTTTGAAGAAATGTTTGAACAAGCGTAGACTTTGGAGTGAGGAGGCAAACCGTAGCTCAAATATTGAACAAGGTTGCATAACCCTCCTTTTGCGGCATTTACTTAGCTGTAACCCAGAGAATGGTCATTTCAATGCATAACATATACCAAGTTCTAGTAAATGTTAGCTTGTAGTGGTGTAAAACATGCAAAATGAAAACAAAAGTATTTCATTCACTAAAATGAATGCTTAATGTTTGAAAGTTAAGAAAGTTTATGGGATTTAAAAAGTATTTATTGATCCCAGGTGTAATAATTTGTCTCACAGAGTGATGTTTATTTGAATAATTAATTATTCAAATTAAGTGATATTATTTGAATAATTAATGAACTGCTTAGGAAAATTGAGATTTTTAGGTCTAGGTCATATCAACTATAATTCCAAAGTAAGGTAACAAATGATTGAGACTGTTTAAGTATTCAAGATATTTACCCCTCAAGTCTATAGTAACCATAAGTCATGTGTGACTAGTGAGAATTCAAACTGTGTGTAATGTAATTAAAGATGTGCCAAAAGTGTAAAATGCACACAAAACTTCAAAAGTCATTAATATCTTGTTGATCATTAAATACTTGTTAAATATCAAAAAAAAGAAAAAAAATCTTCTCAGAGCAAAATAAATTAGGAGTAAAAATTACAACTCTCCAAGCTGAGTTTCCAGGTGTGGTGCTGGAGGCTTATCAAAATGATGCACCAACAACTTCTTACTGATACCTTTTAAATACAGTGGAAAATTTAAAAATACTATGCACAATCATCAAAGTGTGCCACCATATCTGTGCTTTCGTTCTTCTCATGTCCATGGACATTAAAAGGTTAAGAATACGTTCATTTTAACAAAGAATTCCCTTTATGGCCAAACTTTCAGAGTATAAGTGCTTATGAAAAGTGTCTAAGTGCCAGCTACAGTTTAAATCATGTCACTCTTCTGAAGATGACAAGTGTTCTTTGAACAGAAGAGCACAGCATCACAATGCTGTAAGGCAACAGGCTAACTTAGGGCAGAACCTGAGCTGGTAGGCATGCTGGGCCTTTAACTCGGTATCTTCCTGGGATCTGAGGATCAGGACACCCCAGTTGTTTGGATGAATGAAATAAGCATAATATGTGTGTTTCATTTCATTCTTTCTTGATTGAGAGAAGAACACTGAATAGTATTTTTTTCTCAACTTATGATTTGGATCATGAGAAATAAAGGTGACATTATGTGTTCCTCACTATGGACCAGGGGGTGAGCTGTTCATCAGATGCAAGAGAGACAGAAAAGCTGAGGCTGAGAAAACAGTCAGCATGAAAAGGAGCATTGGCTTTTATGGTCTAGGTGTCTTCACTCTCCACTAGAATTTTACACACTGACTCCCCAAGCCATCATGGCCCCTCCCCTGCATACACTACAGGTTGAGTATAGCACCATTGCCATAGCAACACCCAAAGGAGACAAGTGCCTCCAAATCCTACACTCCGGAGCAGTAGAGCCCTTCATCTGTCACACAAGTTACTGGGCATCACGAAAACCCACTACAAGGTAAAGTTTGAAGCTGATTCTTTTCCCCCAGATCCAGAGTGAGGATAGGAAAAACGAAAGAAGCCTCCAACATGAATAAAGGACCATTACAGGGATGGAGTTGTTCTAACAAATCCTTTTAGACTACAGGAAGAGATTCCCCTCCAGAGAACTGATCACTTTGAGGGATTTTCAGGCAAGGTGGACAGTCGCCTTGTCCAGCTAATCAACAGGGAGGCAAGGAATCAGAGTCCTTGAGAATACCATGAGATCTCCTGTTTTCCTGCAAAGAACAAACTGAGTCTCCTGTGAGAATTCTAGGGTGTTCCGATCTCATTGCAATTCACAAAATTATCACTAAGGATATGTTGAATGGAATAGAATGAAAAGAGCAGGATTTCAGACATCAGGCACCCATTTTAAACTCCTGCTACATCCAGACAGCCCGATGATCACACACTGGATATTTAAACAAGGGTTTTCTTAGCCACACACTGAATCCTCTGGTGGGTAAGCTTCCTAGAAAATAAGCATACATTGTGGATTTCATCACTCCACAGACACAACTGCACTCAAAACCCCCTAAGTTAAAACTTTAGTTTCAATTTTTCTTGAAGGGTGGGGGTTGATTTTCACATGAAACTTAATTTATTTTAGTGAAATTTTATTTTACTTCCAGTTCAAAGTTCATCATTTCACAAATAAAATACTAATGTCTTATGATAATAAAGAATGAAGGATTTACTACATCCTCATTTTCAAACCTCTATAGGCGCTCAGGTCTTTCTATATAGCTTATCCATGTACTTTAATTATATATGAAGAAACATCATCCTACTTTAAATGTATTTCAAGAACAGAAAACTAAAAATCAGAACTTGCTAAAATTTCCAGTGTTTAGGTTTAAATCAAAATGACTTTGTCA